TTCTTTCGAGACAGGGTTTCTCTGTAGCTTTGGAGCCTGTCCTGGAACTAGCTCTTGTAGACCAGGCTGGCCTCGAACTCACAGAGATACACCTGCCTCTGCCTCCCTGTGCTGAGATTAAAGGTGTGCGCCACCACCGACCGACTTCCAGGCTTCTTTTAAATTCCATGAAACCCAACGACCAGCCTCAGCTTCCAGGGTCCCGGGATTGCAGGCATGAGCCAACGCGTGCAATTCTGAAAGGCTTTTTCAACACTCATGTCACACATGTTTAAAACATCTCAATGGTAGAAGTAACCTGGATAGGTACTGATGCATGACAGATGTACACGCAGCGGTCCATGCACATGGGAGAATATCACACAGCCTTAAGAAGGAAATTCTGCCTGGCGATGATGGCACACGCCTTTAATCCCAGCACTCAGCAGGCAGAGATGGGCGGATCTCTGTGAGTTTGTGGCCAGCCTGGTCTACAAGAGCTAGTTCCAGGACTGGCTCCAAAGCTACAGAGAAACCCTGTCTCGAAAAGCAAAAAAAGAAGAAATTCTTGTGGTGCGTACCTGTGATCTCAGCACAATGGAGGAAGAGGCCGGATTCATTCAAGATCACTCTCAGTTACCTGTGATCTCAGTACAATGGAGGAAGAGGCCGGATTCATTCAAGATCATTCTCAGTTACCTGTGATCTCAGCACAATGGAGGAAGAGGCCAGATTCATTCAAGATCATTCTCAGTTACTTGTGATCTCAGTACAAAGGAGGAAGAGGCCGGATTCATTCAAGATCATTCCCAGTTACCTGTGATCTCAGTACAATGGAGGAAGAGGCCGGATTCATTCAAGATCATTCTCAGTTACCTTGAGAATTCAAGGCCAGCCTGGGTTACCAGGAAACTGGTATTTAAAAATAAATAAATTGCTGGTCAGTGTGGCACATGACTTTAATCCCAGCAATTGTGAGGCGGAGACAGGCAGATCTCTGTGAGTTCCAGGACAGCCAGGGCTACAGAGAGACCTCATCTGGGGAGGGAGTAGAAGAGGAGAGAGAAAGGGAAAAAGAAAAAGAAGTAAATGAATAAAGATTTATTGTTTTAGTCGGCATTAGGCACACTCAGAAAGACACACTACAGAGCTGCACTTCCAGGAACCAGTAAGACAGAGAGTAGTGTGGTGGGTGGGACTGGGGTGGGGACCTCCGCACAGCCCTGTGAATGTGTTTCATGGTCCAGGCTATGTGTGGAAGTGAGGTTTAAGTATATTTTATGCAATAATTATAAACAAATAAATGAGCAGAGCAATGAGAGGGGCATAGAGAACCTGGTGTGACCCCAGACCCAAAGCCTGTCTCCGTGGGCACAGAGAACCC